TTGCCTTGGGGCAAAAGGGTGTGTATTTACATACTCGTGCATCCTCTGGTAGAATAAAACCAGAGCTTGTGGCCTGATGTGTTTTCTTGAGCTACATCAGGTCATCCTATAATATCCCAGCCCCTCTGAAGGACAGAAGGGCAGGAGCCATTGCAAGGCAAAGGTGTGATTTGCAAAGGGGAGAGAAGGATCCTTGTTTTCTTGTACTCGCAAAAGACTTATGTGACAAACCGCACCTTTCAGAGGGTTGCTGTGGATTGCAGGATGAAGGGGACTTGTAGATCCAGAAACATTTGATATAAAATATTCCTTTTTTTTTTCCTTTTTCATTAAATGAGAGCACCTAACCAGCTGGCTTCCTGTGCCGGTTTTGGGAACATGATCATTAGGATTCAGCTGCAATGCAAAGGCAATGCACTAACTATAGCTGAGCCTCACTCATTAGGCGCATATGGTTTTTATTTTCCAGAGCATGGTCTGACATATAAAATTAGCTTTTTTGCCCAAGGGTTTTGGAAGCAGCAGGATTTAGTGTAGAATATAAACAGGATATCTGATGGAGCAAAATAAGGAAAAATTAATGGACATAATTACTGGTGTGAGAGTTCCAGGTACTCGAGATGGTGTTCAGGGAAGACAAAACCCTATTATGGATAAAACAATTTCTAGGCTTTCAAAGCTCCGTTTCGAATGCAGCACCTTAATACTTGAGTCTGTGTTTTGTAATTGAAAATTAGTGATATTATCCCCATGTTACTGAGGAGGGGGGAAATGAGAGCAAAAGCACATCACGTTGCCAAAGCATGGTGTGTGTCTGTGGTGGGGACAGGGACAGCAGCTCACCAAGCCACATGCAGTATTAAACCTGCTCTTGCTTTGCTTGGCAGGTTTAATGCCCAGGAAAACACATTTCAGCCCTCCTCAAGTCCTGCAAATGAAATGGAAATCAAGGGCAGTTACAACTGCTGGTCATCTTTTGGAGGATAATATTGTGATAATGTTAGCTTTTCCCCTCCAAATTGCTCACCCCACATGGTGGGGCAATAGCGTCTCACCTGGTGCTGTTTGCCAGCAGCTGCCTTACCAGAAATATTTGGCAGACAAACTTGTTGCATCACCTGCCTGAACTGCCTCTCACCACCTCCAATCATCACTGCCCTATTGCTGGGGCAAGAGCCAGTATGAGACGAGACCCACACCACCAAGAAGCCCCTGTGCCATTTGCGCTCATCACCCGTATTAATTAAAACTGGCCTATTTTTTGTTACGCTGACTTGCAATTTCCAGCACAACGTAACAAAGTGCCAGAGAAACAGTGCAGCCTTCTGGTGCGAGTCTTCCCTCTCCTTCGAGAGAGCTAATAACGAAGTGGTTTCTGACAGCCTCTGTGAGCCTGCATGGAGAAAACATGTCCCCATGTCATTAGGTAACGATAGCCCAAACCCCCTGACAGATGAGCCTGCAGCATGTCAGCTCTCAGCTCTTGGACAGGTTAATTTTCTTAATTATGTGTGTTGTGTTAAGCAATACTCTGAAGTGACACAAAATACCAGGTATGTCAGGAAGAAAATCAACCTCAGACATTTCATACAGATAAAGAGGTTACTGGGACATGAGGCAGCCCTGGGCTGGCTTAGCTGGAAAATCCGGCATTGCCTTCCCTGCTAAACTGAGCCCAGAGCCAAAGAGGCACTACAGGGAGAATGGATCCCACAGGACAGAAGTGAGCTATGTGGGAACCCTGGTATTTATTTATTTGCTATGTGTATGTGGGTTTAGCTGCTGGTATTATTGGTGTGGTTCTGATGCAGCTCTTGGTGGGGCATTGCCTTTGCTCCTGCAAATGTGCAGGAGGGTGCTAGAAACAGGAGAACTTCAGACAAAGTAGGATGGGTCACAGTGGTCTGGGTTAAATGGATACTATGCCTTGCCTGCCCCTTTCTGCTCTCTTTTCTCCTCAAAAGGAACTTAGCTATCACTGTCTTGCCATGTTAGCAGTTCCTCTGGCCAGCCTCTGAATCACGACACAAAGGATGTGGGTTCAGTAACCTCTGCTTTTACTTTTGATAGTCACAAACCAGCCGCCCCACTGTTTTCCAGCAGGCAGTGGGGAGGGAGGACACAGCACCACACTGGTTTTATCACAGACCAGACTGGCTCCCAGGAATAGTGTGCTGGCAGCAAGGCACAGGCCTGGGTACTGGTGCTGAAGCTGGCGCAGCAGGGGAGCCCAGATCATTAGGAAAGCTAAAGTGGCTTAGTTTTATGCTCCGGGAAATGAACATGAACTTCTCTTGCAGAAGGAGCAGTACAAAAGCAGCTCAGTGTCCCAGACATATCCACACCCAGACAGAGAGGACTGGGCTCATGTGGGACACCAGCGGAACGCTAGGAAGCAAAAGCTGGTTTGGCCAGCCAGTGCCTTTTCATAATGCATTTTAATACCTGCATAGTAAGGTAATGTTCTGTAAGAACATCACCTCTGGTTACACTGGGGTGTCTTTTCTGTACCAAACCCAAGCAGACTTCTAGACACTCGACAGCACAACAGTTTCTTGCCTCTATTCCACCACACTGCAGGGAACAGCAGCTGTTTCTCTGACTTTAGGCAGCATTGCTTCCAGCTACCTGCTGTACAGCCTCCTTGAAATGCCTTGAAGGTACGGATGGAGGCTGAGCTACTTCAACGACTCACATCCTTCTTGCCTATTACTTTGTGAGACTTTAACAAGAAAGAATAACAATCTTTGCCCTTTGTCATGCACAGCCCGTGCTGCCAGCAGTATTTCATCTTTGCAGGCAGAGACCACCAGGAGGTTGACATTCATCACTATATGTGCTGTAAAAACAGTGCTGTTTGGTTTGGCTGGTGTTGCGGGTAGGTGAATTCAGGTTCTCCCAGCCCGTGAGCTGCTCCTGCAGGTCATTAGAAAAGACTCTGCAACATGAACAATGGGGATGCCTAGCACATACGCTCTCATTGAGAGAGGAAACACCAGCAAGGAATTCCATCAGCCTTTGCAAAAGCAGCAGAGTGGCACAACCCTCCCTTGTTTGCCACCCTAACACTGGTGTGATGCTGGGATGCCAGTAGCAAGTGTGGTTTCCATCAGGCAGCACAAAGCAGTGAGGACCAGTGGGCAGACCAGTGTGCTGATGAACTCACAGCAGTGATTTTCCAGGTCTGGGTTCTGTGCCAAGCAGCCTTAGAGATAGCTCCAAAATGGGAATGGCTTTTGCTGTGCTGGTCATCCTCCTGGGCAGGAAGCTGCTAACTGAATTCCTGTCTGCATTTACTTGCATCGAAGCCTCAAGGTTAGGCTTAGGCTTAAGTGGAAGGCAACCTTCCACTAGCACAGGTGTGAAGGGACCTGAAGTTCCTTCTAACAGGGTGTACAACAAAACACTGGAGTTAATGTGTTGTTCAGTGAGCTGTTTATCTGCAAGCAGGTCCATTGTTCTGGGTCTGCAATCAAAAATAACAACAGTAGCCTGAACGTGCTTTCTTAAGAGATCTCTAAGCCTGCTTGTAAGAAAAAAGAGAAAAAGAAGGAAAGAAAAAAGTATCATTCCTGTGGGAAGAGATACCCATCCTCTGTCTTCACCCAGGGCTTCAGCTGGTTCCTGAGCTGCTGGATGGTGTTCAGAGCACAAGGACCTTCAGCTCTGCAAGCACAGCCCTTGCTCTGCACTCCATCTCCCTCAGAAAAAATCTTGTACCTGCCTGAAAATCCTACTGCAGCAGGATGGAGATGTTACCTTTTCAGGCTGTTTATTCAGCAGATGTGGAGGAGGGAAGGGAGGGCTTTGAATTTGCCTTGAGTTAGCTCTGGATAGGAACATGATGGTGAAAATACTCATCAAGAGGTCTCTGTTTTTCCAGAGGGATTTGATGTCTTGATGTGGGAGAAGGGAAACAGCCCAAAGTGTTAACGAAATTCAGCCCTGGGGCAGAGACAGTGGGAGCAGATGTGTGATTATAGGAGCTGAACTCCCCTAACTGAGAATTTCAACCAGGCACACTCAGCTTTTCTGTACACAAAGAAACCATTTCTGTTCCCTAACAGCCATTTATAAACCTACTGCCGTGCAGATAATCTTCCAAAGACAACAGGGTTTGACTAAAGCATTACTTTCATCCATTTTACCATGGTTTCCTCATAACACAGATGTGAAATGAGCTACGTAGCAGCAATCTGTATTCACAATAACGTGCCAACCTAAACCATAATGCATTCAGCTTTTGCTTTCCTTCCCTACGACACTTTGGTGTCTTGTTTGCACCCAACTGTTTGTTGGTGGGTTTTTGTTGTTTCATTTTTCCTTATGCCGTTTCACCTGGGAGATGCTCTGGGGAAGTAGCTCTCAACCTGCATTTCACACCACAGCTGTCTCATGGGTGTGAATTTCATTTTATTTTAAGCTGGAGTGTTTGCTGCGCTCTTGGTTGGAAAGGAAATACAACTTTGCCTGTCTTCTGGAAACAGGATCCTTACCAAGAAGGGAATATCTACAATTCCTTTCCTTTATTTTTATTCCCCCAGCTGTGTTGCCTGCTTGAGCAACCCGCGTGAACAGTTTTCCTCACCCTCCCAGAGAGCATCTGGATGCTGCTGGAGTGGCAAGGCACAGGGGCTACCGCCACAGCTTGTCTCACAGCTGGACCAAAGTCACATAAACCTGCAGGTGCTTTTGGGAGCCACAGCAGGAGTTTGATGAGTAAAACAGCTCTGAAGAGGCAGCAGCTTCCTCCCTGCTATGGGACATGTGAGCTGTGCTGAGGGGTGTTATCAGGGTGGGACTGGGGACATGTGCAGGGTTCCCACCAGGGAAAGATGTTTCAGCAACGACAAGACCTGTGCTTTCAGCATGGTGCTTTCTTCCAAAAATATGGACAGGTAGATGCTGTCGGCTGTTGAAGTACCATGTACCTCTCTGTGACTGACAGGGACTCTTTCTGCCAGCCCACATCAGCACCCCGGGTCTGGCAGCTGCTCACTCCCTGTGGAAACAACTTGTGTTTTCTGTGGGAAAGGTAGATGGTGATGGAAGATGACAGCAATGGTAATGATAATGGTGAAGGTGTGCTCACTGACATGTTTCTTAAGGTCTTTGCTCCAGTAATTAAAGTTTCCTCTGTTTTTCAGCCTTAAATATTGAGCACACCAGTTTATACGGCTGTATTCTTGTGATTGCCCTTAAGCTTACAGGCTTTTTAGAAGGGAAGGATCTTCACAGGAGCTGGCAGTGCTGGCCTCGGGGTAAGGATTTGGCTTGTGGAAGAGCTCATGCTTTCTGAACATGCAGATTTTAGTTTGATAACTTAAAAAAAAAGAAAAAAAAAACCAGCCCCAAACCCCTTAAAAACAAAAAAGGAAACCCCTCCTTATCTCTCCTGAATGTTTGTTAGCTTGTTGCTGAGAACTCTCTGCGAGTGTTTTAGCATATTTAAATGAGACTGTTTTAACTTTATCCCTAGTAAATAGCAATTAAAAGGAAATCAAAGGATTTGATTTTTTGTTTTTTCCCTAACTACAGAAAAACTAACAGTTTAGATCCTTATTTCGAGTCTCTGAAGACTTGAAGTGTTCAGCTGTTTCGCTGCTCCTCTGCCCATGTTTCATAACAGGGACGAGGCTCACTCTGCTCCTGGGGCAGCACCTTTCCTTCCTCCCAAGGCCCTGCTCTGCTACGAAATGGGGTGTGGATTAAGAGATGGTGCAGTGAAAAAAAGTGTAATTAAGGTGAAATTAAAGTTCAGTTTACTTTCTCACCATCTGCCAACAGACCTGCGCTCAGAGGGATGGGCTGTGGCTCCTGAGGGTGGCAGTGACCCTTTCTCAGCCCTGTGAGATGCTCCTCAGCCCTTGGTCTGTGGGTGCTGTTGGGTGTGGGGAGGATTCATCCAGTTAAAGGATATTTTCAGCTCATGCTGTACATGGGGAAGATCATTTCTTACAAATGTCTCTGTTATTGCTACCATTGCTTTTAGTTAACTGGCAGAATATTGAGTGTTTAAGGATGCGTGGAGATGACTCTGATGCTTTCTTCAGTCCTGTGTCTGGGAACTGAAGCAAAGGCTCATTTCAGTTGTCATATTCACATCCTTCATTTCTCATATCCAGTGCCTGGAGACTGCTATGAGGTACTTAATTATTCATGTATTAAATATATATTTGGAATTGATCTAGCACCTTAGGATTTTTATACCAAGCATCAAATATCCTTTAGGATTTTTCTTACCTAAACCTCTGCCCTTTGGACCCAACATGTTTGGAAGGCAAAAAGGCGTCAGCTGAGACAAAGAACAAATGGATTTACTGGAGTTTGAAACATCCCAGGTGTTAAAGCAGGGACTCGGTCCATGCACGCTCCAGAGACATCTGAGGTTGGCCAACAGGACTCGGCTCCGCTTGTCTTTTGGGGCAGGACTGGGTGGCTTCAAGCAGGAGTGTGTTATCAGGAGCAAAGGAGGAGGGAGCACTGCAGAAAAGGAGGGGCAGCTTTTAGAAAGTCGGGCATTTCAAGGTGATCAGGCTCCATCTTCATCATCGCTGCTAGCCAATCACCAGGGGACTGGGAGGCACTTACTGTAAGGGCCAACACTTTGTAAATAAAACAGCTACTGGAAATATTCATCACTCAGTGGTGGGAGAGAGAGAACCCTCCTGCCCCTTCTCTGCACATTACAGGGAAGCTGAAAAGGCCACGTACCTGTTTTCTCTCCTCCCATGCGGGCCAGCTTTTGAAGCAAAGTGTAACACCTCTGGAACACCCCCTCGTCATACTGTTTTGGGAAGTAAGAAGTTCGCATCCGTTAACTTCCAGAAATAAGAGGTTAATTAAAGGCAACAGACTAAAATAAGCCCGGATTGAGCTGGCTTGGTACATTAATCACCTGGAGCTATAGCATTCAGCATTTTCACACGATGGCTAAGGTTCAGCAAGATTTTTTTGGTAGGAGAAAATACCTCAGAAAGTGAGAAGCCCATGGTTCAATAGCCAGGGGTTGTCACCTCTGTATGCTCCTAAATTAGGGGTACCCTTGGGATCAGAGAAAGTGTCATAAAATAATTAAAGAAGGGTAAATGTAATGTTGCATAGCAAAGTAGCCTGCTGCAGGGCTATCGCTGATGACAAGAAACTCACGGTGACGTGAGAAAATTCACTTTCCACACCAGACAGGTCAGTGCTCCCTCCCACTGATTCGCTATCTTTAATAACCAAAATGATTTCAAGCTGTGTGTAGGCAAGCAACTGGACTCCATGAGGCAGCAGAGATCCAGTGATCAGCCCAGTCCTTCAGCCCCATGACTATGGCTGTGACTGTCCTCAGGGGCCTGCCAACAGGTAAGTTGGTTTCACTACCGAGGCACCCAAGTGAAAGAGGGCTGCATCGCACTCACTGCTGCCACGGACGCATGATTGGTTATTGATGGGAGGGAGCGTGACACCCATCTTCCCCATGGCTTGGGACAGGGAGCATTCCCAACGCGATCATGCAGACCAGTCTCTCTAAATCCACATAAGGGGTGCAGGGAAATAAGCAGGGATTACCAAAAGAAGTCCCCAGAAGATATTATTGACTAATAATTTGTACTAGTCTTACTGAGGATTGCATTTCACTTTGCACATCAAAACATGCCTTTGCTTGACTATAGCAATGTTGTGACTTCAGAGTATGCTTCCCTAAATATTCACAGGGAAGTGCTGGTAAATGGTCTATTGGAGAAATACATATTAAGACTGTTCAAAGTATGTAAACCCAGGGATTTTTTAACACCCTGATGGCAGGCAGCAGTGGGTGGCTTGTTCTGCAGGACAAACATGTCTCTGATTTTCCTCTCCATTTTTAATGATTCTCAACAGGGCTTTGCAATTCTGCAGACTCTACATGGGCTTGAAAGCTGAGCAAGATTTGTAGCTTGCACCAAATCCAAGACAACGTCTGTGAGGGTATTTGCAGGTAAATGTGTGTATAAGGCTCCTGAGACAGAACCAAAAGGGAGTTATTTTTCCATGTAGCCTACATTGCTTTTTCATACCCAAGGCCTAACACTTGGAAAACTCATTCTGTAAGCTGCTTTCTGTGAAGGCAGGTATCACACAGCATTTTATACAGAGCTGGGCAAAATTATCTTTAAGGATTGGGTCACTATGGTAACCGTTTTTATCTCAGAATCAAAAAGTGGTTATGATTGTAATTAAAAATGTATGCTTTCTACCAAGAATTATTGTGAATTATAATTCATCTTCTGTTGCATACTACAGTTATTTTTATTGCTCCCAAAGGTATCAGCATCTGTCATAACTCAGCAATGTAACACTTCATACGGAGAGACCATAACCTGCTTTGAATGTACTGTCAGAGGCTGTGGTCAATGACTTCAGTCTCTTAAATACTTCAACAGACTCCAGCAGAACACCAGAAATGTTTTTTGTTCTTAGAGAGGAAAGCATTAGATAAACAAGGCCTCCTGAAAGCTCGCATTTCATCACAACTAGCTGCATACCCTGAGCCCAGTGATGTGGAGAGAGGGGTCCAGGTTTGCTGCTGTAAGCAGGTGAGTTGACCACAAATTCAGAAGTTTTTTTAATAAAAAACCAACAAAACACCACCACATAAACAATCAAACAAAACAAAACAAGGTACAACCTCCCAGCTTTGATTCCTTGGGTGTTTTTGCCCATCGCTTCTGTTCCCAGGACCATAGCCATGCATGGAAACCTTGGCAGACTGCTGTTTGCAGTAAAGCACAAGTAAATCACTGTGGCTGCCTTTAAAAACTATAACTTAAATAACAGGAGCATCGTGCTCCACGTGGCTACGGCTGAGCTGGTGGCAAAGCTGGTTTTCAATTCAAGAGAAGCAAACCCATGCTGGCGATTAGGGGAGCTGCTTTGCCTGGCTCTGTCCACAGAGGCTTCACCGAGGAGAGAAGCGCCCTACTAATACAAACCATTTCCAAGGGGATAGCAGCAGGGTGGCCTCTTCCCTGTCCTGGGTCTGCGCCAGGCCAGGACACTTAGCAGGATTTTTGGCACTCATCTCTAGTATTCTGTTTTACTGGAGGCTACAGCCTATTCATTCTTCACCTAACACATTATGGAGCAAATACCTACATATGTTTTATGTAAATAGTAATGTAATTGCCTAAAAATTTCTTTTTTTCCACTCTTTCCAAGAGGCAGGCAGAACAAATGTTTATTTTCCTAAAAATGCATAACTTTCAACATTATTTTGGGGGAGGGAGCTTATTTCTTTGTAATATATCTGTGAACCCCCATGGACTCCTGATTTTTTTCTCCTGAAAGTGGTTTTACTGCTCAGTGGCTGCAGCTATTCCAGCAGAACACTGTGGAAACATGTGTGCAGATGGATCCTGAGCATTACACCCAGGATGATGACAGTCTTGCCCACAATAGCACAGCCCCTGCCTGCATCTCAGGGCTGGCACAGGGATGCTCTCAGCACCAGCTACAGCTTTCCCCTCACACAGGCTGTGGGCTTCCCAGGTGAACCTCTTGCACCTAGAGAAGGTAAATACTTAATAATGACCATAATAGAATAAAGAGACAATTGATTTCATTAAGCCTGGTGTAATAATTAGTTTAATCAGCTGAAGTGCAGCTCAATAAAGCATACTTCAGAGATGGGTCAGCTTCAGCGTGCCGTGCTGGTGGCAGTGGGAGGGCTCTGCAGACCTGTGCTGTGGTGCTTCCCAGGCATGGAGGGACACAGTGCTGGGGAGGCAGTGTCAGAGGGATGCCCTCAGGGTGGGTTTCCCTTACTCTACAGCTTGCCCTGGCGCAGCTCAGGGACAGGACTAAGTGCAGGGCAGCTCCTGAAGCAGGATGGAAGCCTGTGGCTTTGCCCTTGGCATCCATCCATCAGCTCCACCACGGAGTAGCAGTAATTTGGCCTTTCCCCTACAGGCTTTTCCCAGAGCCTCCCTGCAGCTTCCCTGTTAGCAGCTCAGGATAGCGGTTCAGTCCCAAAACCTAGGCTGGTGGCTGCTTTTATTTCTCTCTTCAGTTTTTGAATTATCTGTCAATTTCTGTTTGTTTTTTCCTGCTGGAAAGGTCACAGCTAAGCTGCAGTTCAAGCTACCAAAAAATGTCCTATTTCCCCAAGTGCAAGTGGGTTTTGCAGTCACAATGGTTTTAATGTTGAGCAGTGTCTTCAAGTGTGGTATCTCTTGCAGAGGTTGGATCTCCTGAACTGTCATGTGTTGCTAACCCCTCTGCCACCCTCATCTTTCTAGTTTCACTATGGCAGTTGTTTGCTGGCATAGCCCTACCCTTAGATACAAGAAGTGATCTTATCTGTGTTGAGGCTAAAGACTACGGTTTTGGTTTACAACGTAGGGTATCTGCAATGTGAAATCCTGCTTGCCACCAAGGATGTGCATCATAGTCCCAGTCAGCGGGAACCACACCTCCTCCCTCCATAAATGGCAGAATTGAGACATGCTGCAACAAACAGGACAAAACAGTGCCTTAGTGCTACAGCCTCGAAGCAGAAGAAAGGATGCTGAAGCTCTTTATCAGGTATTGAGAACCAACCTCATCCTCCTTCCTCTCCTGGCAGTGCTTGGGGTCAGGCACACAAAAGCACATCAGAGAGGGTTTGGAGGGGAGGAGGAATGCTGTGTAGCACCATGGCTTCAGCAGTCCTCATTCTGAGCTCTTAGGAGCCCTTGGTAATGGTAATTACTTGAGATTGTGAAGACTACAGCTATCAGAGTGATGGTAAGCTTGGAGGAGCCTACTTCGGTCTGAAGTACATTAGCATGCACAGTATGGGAGAGCCAAAATCAGCATGATGCACCCCATGTTGTGGAGTGAGAAGCAAATCCTGTCATTTGAGCTGGCTACTGGGATGTAGCAGCCCTCCATCTACTTCAGCCTGAATTCATTTCCTCATTCTCTGGAGAGAGTAAGATATGGTGGTCCTTGCCCATGGGGCATCAGAAAGAAGGAAACAAAGGGATTCGCTTGCAGAGGTCCTTCACCAGATGTACTCATGGGAAAGAAGGTGTGGATGCATTAGTTGCTGACGCCTCTGACAGATGTTGCATGTGAACAGATGACTTGTGCTGAAAGGTAAGTACCTGAACAATCAGAGCAGCCATTTGCAGATCCCTGGGCAAGTTTAGTCTTCAATCCCTGTAGAGCCACCCCATGAACCAAGTGAGACAGAGATCCTGGGAAGAAAAATGGTGCTTGGTACCATACGCACTGGAGAAGGCTGCACTGCACTGCAATACTAACCGCGATGCTGTGTCCTCACTTCCAGCTTCAACACAGGTACTATTCTTGCCAGGCATGGAAAAAAACCCAAAACAAACAAAAACCAAAACCCCAAAACATCCCAGCAGCTTTTAAAAATAAGATGTATTAAATTTATTTAATTGCAATTTTTTCATCCTGGCTTTCCAAGGTGAGTTTGGATCCAGACATCCCTGCAATGCGCTCGACCTCTCCAAGCATGCAGACCTGCATGACGCAAGGTCAGAAGCTCTCACTGAAGATGCCAGCCTCCCATTACCCATTTTCTACACAAGCCTCACAGTGGAGGTGGCTGAGGCAAGGGGATGCTCATGCAGATGGGGAACATACAGGTTGCACCTCCCTACCGCTCCCACCACTCGAGATGCCATGTCAGTCTGTGGGACCTCAGGTTGGTAAGCTCCATTTCCTTTACTCTCCCTACCCCCACCTCCTCCAGAAAATCATTAATGTGAAAGAAGAAGGTTTGACAGAGCTCAGTCCAATGTGCATGAAGAATAATTGCACATTGGGGCTTTCTGTGTTGCAGCCCCATGGCTGGTTGGGAAGGCTGCTGCATCTTCAGTAATGGAACAGGACACCTGAGATACCATGCTCCTCCGTCCTACAGGTAGGGGTGATTCTTTAAACATTTCACGTGCAAACTGGGCACTGATTATCTAGGCTTGAAGTATTTGTATGCATTGCTTGACATCCTGACTTGTATGGGGAGAGGAAGAGGGATGAGTGGAAAGACGAGGTGTGCCATGCGGGACATTTCTCCCCATGAAGTAAGCAAAGCCAGCTCTCTATCCCCCAGACATTACGTCACTTCCCCATGTTTCCGCTGAGGTTCAGGCAGCACCAGCCATAGAAGTCTTTTCTCTTTCCCCAATCTATAAATACTACTCAGGTATTTCAGTGTCATCGTATTCTTGCATTCCTAAAGCAGGTCTTAGCCCCACTCATGGGTCAGGAACCGAATATGAGACAACAGAAAGCTTCACATCACTTCAGGGAGGTTTAAACACCGTCTAAATAATGTGACTTCAATAAGATGTGTGTGCAAGAAAACCACAGTGTGCACTTCTCTTTCCCTTCCTCCTTATCACTTCTTCTTTAGACTTACAGTCTTAAAGAAACTTTTCCCTTGATACTTACTGTAGGTTGGATGTTTCCTTACCTGTGTATAACAAAAAAAAACACCCCAAAAAACAACCAAAACCCCTACAAACAAACCAGGACAGTGGTGTCAGCAAGGCCAAGCCATAGTCACACCTTGTGGAAGCTTGTGCAGGGCAGGAATGCCAGGCAAAGGGCTGGTTTTCAGCAGGGTGGGATGCCCAGGTCTGTAAGCAACTCCTGCAACACCAAGACATAGCACAGCAAAACCCACTGAGGTCACATAAGGGCAAGACTCACGGGCAGGGGCTGGTGGGTTTAGGACTATCAGGAGCAGCAGATGAAACATGTTGGGACACCCTCCCCTCTGCCTGTGCCTAAAGCCTGCCTGCAGTTTCAGTCATTGCTGTATAACCTTTACCGACACAGTCTGGATTTCTGTTGCCAGAAAGCCAGGGCTCTGGGCAGCCAGGTGCTGTCTTTATGGCCATGGGCACTAACATCACGCTGTGACTTACTTAAATTACACATTCAGGCTGTTTTTTTAGGCAGCAGTCACAAGCACAGGCCTCTTTCAGCACCTTTTATTCAAAGGTAGATAGTCAAAAGACTCTTCCCACTTCGTAGATGTGCTGTTGCACTCAGTGATGGGAAGCATCATTGTAATCACCTTAGTGATGCTTCTGCTGAGGCTTAGAAAATTTAGTCTCCTGCTGTCTTACCCTCCACCCTAATCTGCTTCCCCCTGCTCTCACCAGCACAAGTAATCTCTGCCTCTTTGCTGAATAAATACAACAGGAAAGGGAAGGGAAACCCTTTGAGAGTCTGTTCCTTCACCTAAGGAAAATGGATGTGTTTTGCCATGGGGCTGCAATCAGTGGCCA